GGGGAGGGAGGGAAGAAAAAGAAAAAGCAGTTTGGAGAACAGAAACAAAGCATATGTTTCACAGAGTAAGTGAAATCTGGAAGCAAATACATCAGAAATTTTCCAAAGTTAACTATTTGTTTCTGGAAGCCTTACAAGAGACAATATTCTGTTTGAAAATCTGCTTTAAGCTGATGATGAAATTCAAAACTGCAAGCTGGGATGAGGATGTGATTATTCAGTCTCAGGCTGTACATATAAACTGACCGCCCGAGGGTCAGAAGGTCGGGGAAAAACCGGTACAATATTCAGGATTTGATGCCTGTTTGTAGACGTTACCGTCGTCCTTTGTAACTTATCTCAACCCATTGAGCATTAGCTGTGGCGGTGGAGTAAGGGGGATGTCGTAGGGGGAAGAGATGAACAATTTAAATGCACTGTAATCCCATTAAGGAATCTTCAATCATCTTACCTTACTTTTCCAAAAAGAGCCTAAGTAGCCTACACCAGGTGTGCCCTCAGGTGCAGAGGCAGGGCAGGGAGCTTGCCCAGGAGACCTGGCCTGGGCAGATTTGCGCCCAGAGCAAACGCTCACAGTGGCTGACAGGCCATGACCCAGTGTCTGTGCCGCGTGTCACGCAAGGGATGGAGTCAGAGACTCGGCCTCTTCGCTGCGGGGATTGCTGCAGGAATATGCACTTTTGTCAGGAAGGGAAACCCACTGGGCTGCTTTTTCCCATTTAGATCCCAGCAGTGACACTGTGTGGATGAAGCCAGGAGTACACATGGAGCATCAAATCAGGAAACCTCGGCTAACAGTGGGGAAGGAAGGAAGAAGGGAGAACATTGAAATGTAGACGCTAAAAGGAATTCATGCTTCCAAAGGGGGCTCTTCCTCGTATGCTCCACTACCAAAGCTTGAATAGAGGGTTTGCATCCTTGTCATGATGGATGGGCGTTTTTTCTTAGACCAGTATACTAGTATAGTGCATAGAAGAACTCACCACCTTACAGCCCACATAGTCCAAATTACTTTTAAATGGCACAGCAGTGAAATTAGTAAACTAATTCTTCCAGGGGCTCCAAGACCTGTCACAGGCTCATATGGGAAAGGGATCCTGTTTCAATGGTGCAATTAAATATCAATGTCCAGATTTTTATAGACCTGTGTCAGTCTTCTCAATGGATCGTTTTAACTGAGGAGGGAAAATCACCAGTAAAATCATCTTGACTTATCATATTTCATAAGAGAGCAGCAGAAATCTGGCCAGAGAAATGAAAAGATTCATCTTACAACTAAAACTGTGTACCCTTTGACCAACCACTTCCCCATCTATATGCACTTAATTTCGTAATTGTTTTTTAAACCTAATTTTATATCTCCATGAGTTTTTACTCCTCTATCCCAGGAAACCCCAATTTATTTTAGGTTTGTGTTCCTTTGAAAATATGATTAAATCTTCCCCCAAACCCTTTCTCCATATTCTTCCTCACAAATGCACATACGCAAAACACCTTTTAGTACAATTTCAAAAGCGCTGCATGGACTCCTCAGAAGACACGGCCCAGGTGAACCACCCTTACTTTGTGAAATCTGTCCCTCCTGCTCTTCATTCTCCTTCCTACGGATTCCTTCCTCCTTTTCCCATCATTCTTGTTCATCCTCCTCCTGAATTTTCCGCAGCACATATGTTTTTCAAAAGCATCAAGAAAAATATAGAAGAAAAAAACAAACATCGCCAAAATACGACTCTAACAATTTCAGGACTGTGAAAAATAACCGAACCATATGATGCCACAATCCCACTTCTGCATATATGTCCGAAGGAACCAAAGTCAGTATCTTGAAGAGATTTCTGTACCCCCATGTTCATTGTAGCATCAGTCACTATAGCCAAGATGTGAGAACAACCTTGTCTGTCCAGAGATAAGTGGGTAAAGAAAACATGGTGTAGGCATAAAATAGAATATTATTCAGCCATAGAATTGAAGGAAATCCTGCCATTTGAAACAGAAAGTCATTATGCTGAGTGAAACAAGCCAGATGGAGAAAGACAAACACTGTATGATGTCATTTATATGTGGAATCTAAAAAATGTTGAACTTAAGGAAACAGACCAGAGTGGTGATTGCCCGGGGCTAGGGCAGGGGTGAGGGGGAGTGGTCGGTCAAAGGGTACACAATTTGAGTGGAGATGAATAAGTTCTGAGAATCTGATGTCCGGTGACTATAGTTAATAGTGGATTATACGCTTGAAATTTGCTAAGATAAGAGAATAGATCTTAAGGGTTCTCATAAAAATATGGGGGTAACTATGTCAGGTGATGGATGTGTTAATTAACTTCCTAGTGGAAATCCTTTTACAATGTATGCATGTATTAAATCATCACATTTTACACTTTACATCCTATCTAATAAAAGAGAAACATGGTAATTAGCATACGACCACTACCCTTCCCATTGGCTAATTAGGGCGATATGCAAATTAACTGCCAGCCAAGATGGCGGCCGGCAGCCAGGCAGCTGGAAGCGAACATGAGGCTTGCTTGCTTCAGTGAAGGAGGACTCCAACGTTCCCCGCCTGCCTTGCCGGCCTCTGAGCTGGCAGTTTGAAACATTGTAACAAATATAGAAGCTAAACAAAACCCCAGAAACCAGCTTTCAGCCGGCCGGGATCTCAGAGCTGGAGATGATACAGTGTTTCGATTATAGAACCGAAACAAACCAGATACCTGCTTTCAGCAGCAGAGGCCTTGGCCCAGAATAAAAAGAAAAGAAAAAAAGGAGTGGTTGGGAGCTTCAGTCACCCGCCAGCCTGAAAACGGCCC